CCCCGCCCCGCCGCCTCCGCCCGCCCCCAGCGAAGAGAAACAAAACACAGCCCCGGCACCGCCACGCTCTCCCTCCTTCTCCTCCTGGCTTTCGGTGGTTGTTTTTTGGGTGTTTTTTTTAAATTTATTTTTTCTTTTAATTTTTTTTTCTTGGGGATTCTCCTCTCTCCTGCCAGACTGACTTACACGTTCTTGATAATTTCTCTTCCCCTCATTTTTTATACTCTTCTCCCTGCTTCCAAACCCTGTGTCTGTGTGTTTCAATACTATCACAACCTCTGCTAAAAATAGATCTTTTTATACCCTTCCTCCTCTCTGACCCCATCCAACACCCCTTGTTAAGGTGAGTTGTGTCTTTTCATCACTTTTTTCCTTGTGTGTTGTTTTTTCTTTTTTTGGTTTTGGTTGTTTTTTATTGGTATTTTGGTTTCGGGGTTTTTTTTTTTTTTTTTTTTGGTTTTGTTTTTTTTTTTTTTGGTTTTTTTTTTTTTTTTTTTGTTTTTGTTTTTTTTTTTTTGTTTTTTTGTTTCGGGGTTTTTTTTTTTTTTTTTTTTGGTTGGTTTTGTTTGTTTTTTTGGTTTTTTGTTTTTTGGTTTTTTTTCCCCATTTAGGGCAGATTTTAGGGAGGAGGGGATGTGGAGGAGAGAATTTCATGGGGAGTCAGGCAAAGCCTTATTTTACCTTCTGCAGCCTCAGCATCATTCCGGACTGCTCCCTTTTATCCCAAGGATGTAGCTAGCTGATGAAAGTGGGGAACTACTCTTCCTTAGCGCTGCATGCTTGGGAGCCACAGCAACAGCAGGAAAAAAACCAAGCTTCTCCTTTTTCCTTCGTCCTACCCCCCACTCCCTTCCTCATTCCCTCCTCCTTCCTGTGTCGTTTATTTGTTGTTTATTTATTTTTATTTTTTTTAAATATTTTGGTGGGATGTTTGGTTGGGATTTGGTGATGGGTGTTTTTTGTTTTGTTTGTTGTTTTGGTGTTTTGGTTTTTTTTCTTCTGTGTGTATGCTTGGTTTCTGTTTTGAAGCAATACCCAGGGGACTTGGAATGAATTGCATGCAGTGCCAGTGGAGCTCTGTGTGTGTGCACGTGTGTCTTGAGAGTGAGTGAGTGTGTGCAAAGTGCATTTGTATTTCGTGTTCCTGGGATGATGAGTCCCTGTGCACAGAGCAAGGAGCACAGCAGGGGCTGCTGAGGGAGAAGCTGGTCAGGGATGCGGGAAAGCTACAGAGCTCTCCACAGAGTTCAGTCCCTTGTGCTCCAGAACATCTTTCCATAGATCATTACTGGCACCTTCAAGGTGATGGCTCCCATTCCTCTCCTGGCTTCTCAGTAGAGGAGTGCAGAAAAGGAAAACTTTACAGCTAATGAGAAGGGTTAGCATTCCTGTTCCTCCAGCAGCCCGAGACAGTGTTATTCCAGGGATGAGTGGGGAAAATACAGTTGTGATCCAGAGTAAACGGATCGTTTGCTGTAACATATTAGTGTTCAGTGAGAAAAAGACACATTAAACACTATCAGTTTGGTCAGCCAGCAGAAGCATTGGAGTCCAGCTTACTTCCCAATTCCAAAGTTGTTTTAGACTGTTTTTCAATCTTCAGAAAACTGTGCCTATTGATGGCAGAAATGTGTTTTTTACTGTAAAACAGTCTATTATAAATCTGCTGGGGAACGATTTATTATTCAGAGGCAATCAGGTAATTTATATGTTTCATGGATTTCCCCCAAGTCTTTTAGTGTGCCTTCAATTATGTATTTTACCTGTGTGTGCGAAGCGGGGTAATATAGATTTTAGTTGCATTTTAACAAGGTGTTAAGGCATAACTTGCAGGGTGCCATTTGCAAAGTGTCACTTAATATGAAGCAAAATAACAGCCTCTAGCTCTTTCTCATGGATTTTTCACATCTCTCTTGTTTGTTTCAAAGCAAGTGGTGATTTTGCTTAAGAACTTGTAAGGAAAACTGGCTTCACAGTGGTACACAGTTTCAGATATTAGCTCAAAAGTATTAACACTTGTCTGGCTGCGAGACTTGAATTTACTTCTAAAATACAAATACAAAGTACACGAAAGAGCACTTGGTATATATGGTTTTCTAACAGGTTGAATCATTTGTGTATCTAAAAGTTTACAAATGAGCTAAAATGGTTCTTGTAATCTGTGTTTGGAGGCCTTCATAGATACAGGAACATTAATGTTTCCTGTCTAGTTAATGCAATTCCAAAATATCCTGTCTTTCCACATGCTGCATAGATAACACTCAGTAAAAATGAGCAGTCATGAAAATAGTCTTGTGCTATCAAGGGACATTTCATCATTTCTTGCTAGCCTAAATTAAAATATTTTACACAAGTTTGCCTTGGAATTTTTTTTTTCTGCTGTGGCTGGCTGATTGTGAAAGTGGGAAGCATGCTTTGAGTGAGATGTGACATTCCTAATGCTTGATAGCTGTGAGGGGAGAGACACCTGATGTGCTGTGTACATCATTCTTGAAGGGATGCAGGGTAAGAAAAAGGGATGGAAAACGAGCACAGTGCACTGGCAGTTTAGATAAATAAATGTGGGTGATGCATGTTAGCTTGTCATCTGCGGTTCTGCTGAACCCTGACTGCTGGCTAAACATATTTTCTTGGTAAGCACTGCAATGTGATACAATTTTTCCGGTTTGATAGAGTTTGCTGTTAAAATCACATGTAGCACAGAACAGTTCTTGTTCAGTAGATAAAAATCATGCCACTTCATTTTAATCCACAGAAGGCTGAAATATCCACTACTCCTACTGAAGTCACCAGGAGTTACCTGTGATCAGCACTCTTCTTGATATTTTATCTCACCATGTCAGGATTTAGGATATTTCCAAAGGATGCCATTGACAGCAGATCTCATTTTATTTAGATTTTACTTCAGGAGCATATTGTATGTTTACAGGTAGATATTGTCTTTTACCACAGCAACACTAAAATGTATCAGGAAATGGAAAACTCTTAAAATTGTTTTTCTCAGGAGCCTTTAAAGAGAATTCTCCCTGTGTCCTTTAACCGTTTCTGGAAAAGCAGTGCTCACTTCAAAATCTACATACTAGGAACCTTTAGTTGGTTGCTTAGCTGTTGGTGAAAAAAAAAAAAAAAGATGGAATGTTTGTACACAAAAAGAGCAAGTCATGTGTTTGGGGGTTTTTTATGACAACTGAAAGACAGGAGTGCTTTCAGCTGGATATGACAGTGTTGAAGCAAGGTTAATGTTGAGTTTGATCTGGGGGTTGTTCCCATTGGCATGAGTGACAGCACACCAACACTTAGCTTATTCTGTAATGTACTAACCTAGATTAAACATCTCTTTAACTTATATTTTGAGATTTGGATATGACATCAAACCTTGGATTTATTCACTCCTAAAGCCTTTTTTGTTTGTTTTGTGTTTGTTTTGTTTTTGAAACAAGTCTTTTAAAGCTGTGAACTTCTATAAACAAAGTAGTGGAGTATTCAGTAGTCGCTCCAACTTTGTGGACCTTTTTGCTGTGAAAGTAAGGTGGGATTTCTCTCTACTGCTAACGACCTGAAATTATTTTCTTGTATTATTGCACTTTGTTATTATGCAACGTGAGTCTAAAATTCTTAGTCAAAGGAGTATTTATTCTGCGGTTGTGGTGGTTCCACAATAGAAGAACATGTGTATTTTTTCTTGTCCTGAATTAGAAGTACCCATCATGTTCAGTGACATTTTGTTGCAGGGCAAAGTTGCTGTTTCATTGGGTATACTTACCAAGGAAACTGTATTGATGACAGACTTTCTTAGATTTTTAACTAAGTAAATGAGAACTATCACAGGGCTGCCTGGTAATTTTGGGGTTGGGGTGCAGTGGTTTTGTCTGTATCCACGCAGAATGCAATTGCAGTATACATTAAAAATCAGTAGCATCTGAAAATATTAATCCATTTTTCTCTTTAGATACCTCTTTCTTTACCAGTTTAAAATGGTACTATATATGTGTATGTGTTTCCATCTGAGTGTATATTTGTAATTTTAAGGTGTTTAGATGAATGATGTTACCTTAAGCAAAGATGACTGCTTATTTGCATTTTGTCTGCTGGAAATACAGTCTTTATAATAAAATAGGTATTTTTCTTCTGTTGTACTTGCTTGTGCATAGATGAAAATTAGTATTTTCCTCCTGGGAAATTTGTTACTCTTCAGAGCCAGATGCTGAACAGATCTACTAGCAGTTCCCAGTCTTGGTGCACATGGATGAGTGTCAGAGGTAACAAGTGCTCAGGCATGGCAGGGAAAGGAAGGGGGTGGCTCTCTGCAAAGCAGGGGCGGTCTAATAATCTGGTACTGCAGTGGCTGAGTTGTTCAGGGCTAAGAGAGCAAAGTGCTGCCTCACCCTTAACAGTATAAACTCCTCTATCCTAGGGTTTGCATTCATCAGGCTGCTTGGTTTTCCCTTTATTAGATAGGGACGACTTAATTACAGTCTGGTAGCGCTAACACAGCTCTCTGATGACTACTGTTTGTAGGAGGCCAAGTGAAAAGTAATTCTGGAGAGGGGTCTCCAGCTACAGTGTTTCTTTGTGGTATGTTTTTATTTACTCCAGTTTTCCCCAGATTTGCATCCAGCTATTATACCCTACTTGTCAGCGTAGGCTGGAGATTGTTTTGTGTGCAGAAAGTGTTTGTAGGAAAGGGAAAATAATGTTATTGTTAGCTTTAGACAACGCAGTGTACCTGCCCCACCAATTCCAACCAAATGAAAGGAGAGCTGTGGCATTGGAGCTAAAATGTTCCAAATTTGCTTGATATAAATATGGTACTTCATGCCTCATGAGGAGAGACACCTTTTTAAACATAATTCAGAGGGAATGCGTTTTCGGAATGAGTTTTACTGTAAGTCCCAGTGATCACTCATGTCCCAAAGAATCTGCTAGGAGCAGCCCAAGTAATTACAGGTTAATGTGGGGTGTGAGGCTGTTCCTCCTACTCAATCCCCTGTTGCAACTCAATGCTGGTAGATGGGTACCTGTTCCAGCACTGCCATTGTATCAGTGACAAAACTTAAATTTTGTTTAGAGGGCGATATATATAATGCACTATTGATTCCTGGTAGCAGCAAGGCTTTTAACAAGGAGTATAAATTCAAGAATTTTGATTATGGATCTTGCAACATCTGACTTTGTCATCTATGCATTAGATATATTTTGATGCTGTGAACACTTAATCCAAGGAAGCAAAATGCTTGTCTTCTATAAATGACAGAAAAAATACTTAGTTAATTAATTCATTTGGCCTTTTGAGGTGTAGATGGCTCAGGACTATACATTTCTTGACTACAAATTGACACTTGG